TTGGTGAACGGACTGGCGTGCGGATTCTCGTTTTTTCATAATAAAAAATTACGAGAGTTAAATACGCCGTTCAGTGTGAAGATAGCTTTGTCCGTCCACAGGATGCAGTTGGAAAAAAAGAGTATTCCGCCGACATTATGCGAGCAATCTTATGTTTTTGCTGACAATTATAATATTTATTAAAAATAGCGCTAACATATTAAATGAAAATAATAAAAATACTTTCACAAAAATAGACGCGCTGCACTTCAACTCCCACAAGAAGTTGCTGCATTTGTTGCAAATGATACGGGTGTAATTCGTTTTGGCAAAGAATGCACCATGTATCAGGATAAAGCGAGTGCACAAGCCACACGGCGCACGCTGTTCATTAAATTTTCCTCGAACGCTCTCAGGATTCTCTCCTCACTATTCTCGTGAATATGTCTTCGTCCACCAGCATGATGTGCAATCGACAACGCTGATCCCGCTTTTTCGCACAAGTCGAATACATCCCGAAATAGTATTATAATTGGGACGTTCGCGCTCGGGAAATCGTTTCGCGTAGAGCCGTGGCGGCACGTTTTCTCCTGCTACACACCGTAAATGATGTCGGTGTATTTTTGAGAAGTATATACCACCATGAGAATTTTGATAATATACTTCGAGCGTACGCAACTTAAGACATTTGGACGCGTCGGAGTGTTGATCGTTTTTTCTTCTTACACATCAGATTTTCTTTTATACTTTATTTTTATGTAAACACAAGTATAATAATTTAATAAAATTTTTTTGGCAACTACAAATGGACATTAATTTTGGATTGATAATATCTTTTTTCATCTTTGCAAAATTTCTTTACTACTTTATAGGATTAAAAGTTTGGGCCATTTTTTAATAACATGTTTCTTGTAGAAATAATGAAACGACTTTTCAAATAAAAATGAACTACAAAATAAAATGTATTTCACTGTAAAGTTTTTTTTATTTTATTAAATTAGAAGTTGGCACCAATTCTTGATATCACATCTTTTATATCAATGTACAATTTATTACTACTTAAAAAGATTTTTGTAAATGAAAATTTTTGTATAAAATTCTTTCTTTTACATAAATAAGAAAAGGGGCACGTAAACTTGGCGTTATTCTTTATCTTTAACGTTTTCTTCACCTTTAAACAGTAATTTCGTTTGTAATCATCAAAAATATGAAGTGTTTACATTATTTATATTATACATTACATATATCCTCTACCATCACGTTTGTTTTCATAATCACTTAGCCACAGGTTCTCGTTCTCGAAGGAAAAATTAGTATCTGATCTGTGTGCTTGTAAGTGCTAAGTGCTATTTGTTAATTTATATCACAGGCATCGGAAATTCTTAACGGTAAGTTTAAAACTTACTTACTTAAGAGAGGGTGTGCGTCACAATGGGGCCCGACCACGAACCCGTCGTGAAAATTCGTAATTATCTTACGAAAAAATACCACACCTCGGCCAGGAATCGAACTTGGATCTCCTGCTTACGGGGCAGGCAACTTATCCCTTCGACTACCGAGGCATGTGATGACATTTATCGCAAATAACGTATTTAGAATAACACGTCAACAATACAATGATACACATGTATACGTATATTACAATATACATATATACATGTATTCTCTCAAATCTCCACGACCGGTACTCCAGAGAGATGATGATCCTATTCTCTCGATGGATGCAAGTCGGATTGCAGCGGCGACACCCTCCAACGCCATTGGCAAATATCTTATCTCTTTTTTCCTTTTAATCGAGCAATTATGTATATAATATTTTGATAGATAATGTGGAAGACAATAATGCATCAATGACAATAATGCGCTGATTATTTAATTTATACCGAAAAACTTAATTCTGGCAAGGAGCTCAATCTGGATTTATTTACGATGGATCGATACAATTCTATTGTTGAATACAAAATGTCAAATTATTCATTTCTCTTACCAGTGATCGCGGCAATGTATTTTGTAAGTATACACCGATCCGCTTGCTGGAAACGCTCGAGATAGTGTGCACATTTATAAATTTGTAGTATTTGTTGAAATAAAGCTAACGTGTTACTGCCAGATTCTTTTATTTTGTGCAAAAACGCGTCGAATGAGTCTAATTTTATTCATATTTTAGATGAGGAGTCTAAACTGTATAATTACTATTATTATTAATTTATTATATATTAATATATTATTATTCATTATGTATATATACATATTAATAATTTTATATATATATATTATATTTAATATATATAATAAAATTATATTTTTTTTAATATTAGATGTGCCAGCCATTATTTCAGTTGAAGCTTCAGACAACATACTGCAACTGTGTTCCGTTTTACAATCTTGAAGCAGTTAGAAAGCGTACGAAAGTAAAACGGAACGGAATAGCCGCAATACACTTTCATTACGTCATAGCATGAGCATTCGAAGTGAACAAAGGAACGCACTCTAAATCTCTGCTGCATGATTAAATTTTTATTTGAAGGATTCAAATTTTCGTTAAACAAATTTCTATTAAATATATACGAATTTTTATTAAGTTTATTCACGCAATATATACTGTGTTACAAGTATGTTACAACTCGAAAATCTTGTGAAAAATTTATTCTAATTTCTGATCATAGACGCTCCCGATAGAAATTTTCCAAATTTAATAGATAATATTAATAGTTATTCTAAACAGATAATAAGGGAATAAATAATGAATACAATTCATTATCTTTTTTATATTCTTACATATCACACGACACAAATTCTATTTCTCCCATAAACCAATCTCTTTCATACGCGTCTGAAAATACTTTTCCAAAGCATTGGCACAACGATAATAATCGGTATCAAGACTGTTATATAATCTACAATTTGTAAAAATTCGTATCATGTCTGCGATAAATAATCTTCTTGTTACATAATATTTAGATTTCAAACGTTCCTCCATAGTCTTAAGATCTGCAACATAAATAATAATCGTGTGTTATACTTTGATTGATATACTTCATTTTGTGTTATATTTTGATTGATTTCTCATTTTAACATTATATTTAATGTTTCATTATTATTAAAAAATGTTTTGCATGGTATTTTAAAATGTATCTTCTTTTCTCACCCATCGGATATTTTATGTGATCGTAATAATCCGGAACTTCGTCTTTGTCTACAGGTTCCAGAAATGGCCAAGCTGCACTGTGAACTTTCACACTATTTAAAACATTATTTAAAGAGTTATAAAGACACTCTGACATATCTGTATAATCTCCAACTTCTGAACCTTGCGTCCCTTTCGTTACACCTCTTGTTCTCGTTTGAC